GCGCCAACAGCCGCTCCCCTTTAACCATCACCGGGAGTAGCATCGTATTGTCCGTGCGCATCCATGCAAGTGCGTGTAGAGAGACCACGAAAGCATTAGCGGCCGCAGGCTCCTCGGCGACCGGAGCCTCGGGGTTGGCGACGTTATCCATCGCTGTGGCATTCCCCAAGTCGTCGTCGATGTAGTCGTCCGACTCGAGGTAGAAGAGCCGTGGGCACGCGTGGCTGCGGACGTAGGGCTCATCACAGTTGAAGCAAAGCCCTTATCGACGCCGCTCCAGTTGCTCGGTCGGCGTGAGGCGGCGGAACTGGCGCACCGAGGGCGCCCCGTTCGCCGCTGCTGGTCCGCCCACTGGGGGCACATGGGCTCCAGCTGGAGCACCCGCTCCTGGCACGCGCGGGGGAAAGTCAGGCCGTTGAGGAGGTCGGTCGCCCCGCTGGAGAGGCGCTGGAGGCATGGCCGCCGCGCGACGCTCGAATGCTCGGGCCAAATACATGGCGGTCTGAAGGTCAGGTGAATCCCGCATCTCCACATCCACCCGAATGTGCTCCGGGAGGCCGCCAACGTAGAGTTCGGCCTTCTACTTTGTCGAGATGTCGCGCGCATGGCACAACACCGCCTGGAAGCGGTCAGAGAACTCCTGGACGGTGGAGTGGAAAGGTAGCCGCCCCAGCTCGGCCAATCTGGTACCACGGACAGGCGGCACGAAGCGGAGACGGCACAACTCCACGAAGCGATCCAAAGAAGGCATGCCCTCGTCTTGCCCGAGGGCGTAGTACCATGTCTGGGCCGTCCCCTTGAGATGGTAGGAAGCCAGCTAGGTGCGGTCGGAGGCCGGTGTGCGCTGGCCCCTGAAAAACTGCTCACAGTGATTGAGCCAGTTCAGGGGGTCCTCGGAGCCATCGTACGTCGAGAACTCCAGCTTGTAGAACTTCGAGGGGTGGCGCCCATGATCACCACCCTGGTCGCCGCCCTGATTGCCACCCGCAGGGAAGCTGTCGATGGTTGGAGAGGCGATGGAGTGCGGTAGGAGGCTGCTGCCATGGAGGAGCGTGCCATCGACACCTCCAAAGAGGGTGCCTGTTGCGAACGGCCCACCGCGAGCGACGACAGCGCCCGTCGTCAGCGCCTGCGGTATGGACGCCCACGGTGTCGTCATGGAGTAGATTGGCTCTGTCGTGGAACTGAGCGCCCATGCCGGGATCTACGACGGTGACGATGGAAAACGAATCTGTTGAATCGAAACATATGTTGACGACAACGATACGGAGGTCGGTGGCGAGGGCAGTGCCGCAGTGGGCATCCCGTAGGGGTACGAGATGGCCGGGTAGGATGCGGCTGGTGACGGCGGCGGAGGGGGTGGCGGTGGCTGTGTGGGCAGCAGCGGCGTGATGGTCAGCTGTCCCTGGAGGAGCGCCCGCAGCGTTTCCTGGACCTCCCGCATGCAGTGGCTGAGGTCCACGATTGCCGCCGTCGTCTGTTCCGGTGAGAATACCGGGGCCGGTGCAGCCACCGATCCCAGCGGCAGCGACGGGGTCACCAGCACGCCTAAAGTTGCGGGAGGTGCTGTGGTGGAGAACGGCGTGGCGGAGATCGCCGGCGAAGGCGAGGACGTGGAGGCAGCGGGGTAGGCCATGATCGGCAAGGGCTCTGGTACAAAGTTGATAGGACTTGATGCCCTACCGGCGTGGCTGCGTAGGTTATAGGGGTGGAAGAGAGGACGTGGTATGTACTCTCGACGTCGGCGAGGGGCCGTGGCGGCGAGAGTGCGGCGGCTGCTGCAGCTGCCCTAGAACCCTCTCGGTGCCACAGTAGCGGCGGCACTGTTCATGCACAAGAACAGCAGGAGGCGGCTAGGGTTAGGAAATCCCGGCTCCCTTCAGGAAGCCGGAAACAACTCTGTTTCTGCTTAATCCAATCTCTAAGTCTTTACAAGTATTTATACTTCTCTCTAATAATAACAGGAATAAATAACTATGGGCTTTTAGGCCCCTAGGCCGACAGCCCATAGCCACTAATGGGCCTACGCCTTGTATAATGGGTGCCGGTCATAACATCTCTCCCCGTCTGCGCAAACAGCTCGTCCTCGAGCTGGAAGGCAAGGTAGAGGATGCGGAACTCGTCGACGAGGGACTATGCCGTGCGGTGCAGCAACCGCAGCCAGACCCAATCACCTAGGTAACGGTACGGGCGCACCGTGACCGGGGCGGTGCCGGGCAGCAGGTGGATGCGGTGGTCGTATGGGCGCACTGGTGGGAGCCCTGTGGGCTCGTCGAAGACTGCGCTCTACTGCTGCAGCAGCAAGTCCATCAGCGGCTGTTGGGCGTCGACAGAGAGTGCAGCGAGGTGCTGCTGTGGAGCCGCCGCGTCGAGGCTGCGCACGCCCTGCCAAAGGACGCGTCTGCCCTCGCGCCAGAAGGACAGCGTCATGGCCTCGAAATCCCACAAGATGGGACCCAAGGTCCGTAGGTAGTCGACGCCGAGGATGAAGTCGAAACAGCCCAAGTCCAATCCGACGCACGTGATGGAAAAGGACTCCGAGCCGATGCAGATAGGCACGTGGCGAGCAATGCCCTCGCAAGGGAGCCGGTTGCCGTCGGCCACGGCAACACGGAGCTGCTCACCGCCCGTCAGGGCGAGCCGTAGGCGGCGCATCGTCGCGCCATGGAGGAAGTTGTGCGTGGAGCCGGTGTCGAGTAGCGCCAACAGCCGCTCCCCTTTAACCATCACCGGGAGTAGCATCGTATTGTCCGTGCGCATCCATGCAAGTGCGTGTAGAGAGACCACGAAAGCATTAGCGGCCGCAGGCTCCTCGGCGACCGGAGCCTCGGGGTTGGCGACGTTATCCATCGCTGTGGCATTCCCCAAGTCGTCGTCGATGTAGTCGTCCGACTCGAGGTAGAAGAGCCGTGGGCACGCGTGGCTGCGGACGTAGGGCTCATCACAGTTGAAGCAAAGCCCTTATCGACGCCGCTCCAGTTGCTCGGTCGGCGTGAGGCGGCGGAACTGGCGCACCGAGGGCGCCCCGTTCGCCGCTGCTGGTCCGCCCACTGGGGGCACATGGGCTCCAGCTGGAGCACCCGCTCCTGGCACGCGCGGGGGAAAGTCAGGCCGTTGAGGAGGTCGGTCGCCCCGCTGGAGAGGCGCTGGAGGCATGGCCGCCGCGCGACGCTCGAATGCTCGGGCCAAATACATGGCGGTCTGAAGGTCAGGTGAATCCCGCATCTCCACATCCACCCGAATGTGCTCCGGGAGGCCGCCAACGTAGAGTTCGGCCTTCTACTTTGTCGAGATGTCGCGCGCATGGCACAACACCGCCTGGAAGCGGTCAGAGAACTCCTGGACGGTGGAGTGGAAAGGTAGCCGCCCCAGCTCGGCCAATCTGGTACCACGGACAGGCGGCACGAAGCGGAGACGGCACAACTCCACGAAGCGATCCAAAGAAGGCATGCCCTCGTCTTGCCCGAGGGCGTAGTACCATGTCTGGGCCGTCCCCTTGAGATGGTAGGAAGCCAGCTAGGTGCGGTCGGAGGCCGGTGTGCGCTGGCCCCTGAAAAACTGCTCACAGTGATTGAGCCAGTTCAGGGGGTCCTCGGAGCCATCGTACGTCGAGAACTCCAGCTTGTAGAACTTCGAGGGGTGGCGCCCATGATCACCACCCTGGTCGCCGCCCTGATTGCCACCCGCAGGGAAGCTGTCGATGGTTGGAGAGGCGATGGAGTGCGGTAGGAGGCTGCTGCCATGGAGGAGCGTGCCATCGACACCTCCAAAGAGGGTGCCTGTTGCGAACGGCCCACCGCGAGCGACGACAGCGCCCGTCGTCAGCGCCTGCGGTATGGACGCCCACGGTGTCGTCATGGAGTAGATTGGCTCTGTCGTGGAACTGAGCGCCCATGCCGGGATCTACGACGGTGACGATGGAAAACGAATCTGTTGAATCGAAACATATGTTGACGACAACGATACGGAGGTCGGTGGCGAGGGCAGTGCCGCAGTGGGCATCCCGTAGGGGTACGAGATGGCCGGGTAGGATGCGGCTGGTGACGGCGGCGGAGGGGGTGGTGGTGGCTGTGTGGGCAGCAGCGGCGTGATGGTCAGCTGTCCCTGGAGGAGCGCCCGCAGCGTTTCCTGGACCTCCCGCATGCAGTGGCTGAGGTCCACGATTGCCGCCGTCGTCTGTTCCGGTGAGAATACCGGGGCCGGTGCAGCCACCGATCCCAGCGGCAGCGACGGGGTCACCAGCACGCCTAAAGTTGCGGGAGGTGCTGTGGTGGAGAACGGCGTGGCGGAGATCGCCGGCGAAGGCGAGGACGTGGAGGCAGCGGGGTAGGCCATGATCGGCAAGGGCTCTGGTACAAAGTTGATAGGACTTGATGCCCTACCGGCGTGGCTGCGTAGGTTATAGGGGTGGAAGAGAGGACGTGGTATGTACTCTCGACGTCGGCGAGGGGCCGTGGCGGCGAGAGTGCGGCGGCTGCTGCAGCTGCCCTAGAACCCTCTCGGTGCCACAGTAGCGGCGGCACTGTTCATGCACAAGAACAGCAGGAGGCGGCTAGGGTTAGGAAATCCCGGCTCCCTTCAGGAAGCCGGAAACAACTCTGTTTCTGCTTAATCCAATCTCTAAGTCTTTACAAGTATTTATACTTCTCTCTAATAATAACAGGAATAAATAACTATGGGCTTTTAGGCCCCTAGGCCGACAGCCCCTAGCCACTAATGGGCCTACGCCTTGTATAATGGGTGCCGGTCATAACAGAATGCTGCAACCCAAAGTAATAGTCAAACGGGTGCCACATGATAGTTTTTTATATGTAATGGAACTGTTTCACAAGAACAGTGAGGAAGTTTCCTTTAAAAATAGAATGTCTACTTGTTATATCATCATATTTGTCAAATATTTTCTTGATATTAGGTATTATGAGGAAGTTTCACATTTAAAGTAATAGTCTTTACAACTAGTAGACATTCTATCTTGTGATGATTACTTCATGCAACAACAATCAACTTACTCTATATCCAGCAGGTTGCTTCACATGAGAAAGGATGCGGAAATTCACAGGTAGGCCTGGCAATAAAATAAAAATCATCACTGATATGCTTGAAGTTAAAATCTAGGCCATATTGGTCCATGAGAGAGAGAGAGAGAGATCTCTTACGTCCACGGCATTGTGAAAATTATGTGAATCGGTATATTGAGAGCCTCTGCCACATGTACATGTCCTGTATAGGCACTCATTTAGGTCAGAAGTTGAACTAAGATAACAAACAAAATGCGGTAAGTGTAAAGGCTATTCCTTCAGAGCCAAAAGAATGCCTTATAATTGACTTATTAGAAGTTTAACAAATCAAACAGAAATGTAAAATAAAGTAGGAATAATAAGAGGATTACCATATGCTGCTGGATTAGCTATTATGGCGTCTGCACTAAAAGAAACACCAGTATCAATGTCCGGATCCTTGCAAGCAGGAAGCAAGGAGAATATGATGTCCCTAATCTGCTTGCGCTGGATAGGAATTTCTGATGGAATTGCAGGCAAGAATCCTTTGTTCTTAACCATGTCTGCTCAAATTACCAACCCTGTACTGTTATGCAAGATCTATTTATAGCAAACTCCAAGGTGAAAGCACAAAAAAAATCAAGCATTACACTCACATACATCCAGCAAGAATTTTTGGATCTCGAACAAGGGGATAAAACTCCAACCCAGTAGTCATCACGAAGTCTTTGAAGTTGGCATGGGTTGCTAATCTAACACGATGACCGTAGTCCTGCTAACAGAAGTAATTGTTACTCATCTTGAACAAAACATAAAACAATTAGCATGTTGCAGTTCCATTTGGTGAAAAAATCAACAATTGGTATACTGGCTCCCTTATGCTGTGCTGGACCCTCAAATATTTGCTGCCAGCCAGTTATAACATGCACATAGCAATAACATTCTACAGCCTATTTTATCATGACATGCTCTCAATGCTTCGTTAGCTTATCGTAAATAAATTGGTCCACATACTGATCCTCTACAGGCACATTTCACAATCTTTTAACTAACCACCATGAAAAAAACTAAATAATAGTGAAAGGATCATATCGTATCAAAAGAATTCGATAACATGCTCACCTGCAAACATTTTCCTATAGCTATGAATGGCTGCACATCCCCTCTTGTACCAACAATCAGCATAGCAATTTGCATTGGTGGCCTGTGCTGAAGATATGAAGAGTCCAATGGTTCACCACCAAAGGCCATATTGTGGTGATCCCCTGAAGGAAGATCAAGTGATGCAGCATCAATATTAGTGGGGATATCGACAACTACAGTCCATCATCTTTTAGTGTAGCCATTCGACTGAATAATTTTAGCTGCAATAAATTCAAATCAAGATGCAACAGGTAGAAACTGTCATTTAATTGAAAAATTGCAGAAAAATTGCAAAAGGAAGCGAAAAAGTAGCTTTGTGTTTGAACATAACACAAAGTGAGCAAACATGATATAGGATGATGCAAGGATTACGAGTTTTGTGTTTGCATGTAAATCGGCATTTCTGGCAAAAGACAAAAGCTACAAGTTTTTTTTGTCAAACCCGCTATGTTGTATGAGCAGAATGATGAACGATACAAACAAGCATGAGTGTCGGAAATGCGGATGTTGCGATGGAGTCACACAAGGATGGACGAGTTGATACGTTTAGATATACGTGACCTAGGGGTAGCACCAATTGAAGATAACTTCAACATAGGTTGAGGTGGTTTGGCCATGTCCAAAGGAGACCTTCGAGAGGCACCGGTGCATTTGGAATCTAAGTCAAGATATCAATGGGAGGAGAGGTAGAGGAAGACCCGAAGGCGACATGCAACAAAAAGAGATTTAAAGGGTTAGGATATATCTAGAGATCTTTGTTTAGATAGGAGTGCTTGGAAAGCTTTCAGGGCTCATGTTGGGTTTCAACTCTAGCTACCCCAACGACATCTCTTTGATGGGGCTTGTTTTTTATTAACCTTTTTCTTCTTAATATAATGACATGCAGCTCTAAAGCTGGTTTGAGAAAAAAGCTAGAAACTCAGATCATTGTCCAATTTTTCTACATTCATGGCTAGTAATACAATACATTAGCAGTGCAACCATTAAATGTAGAATATGTTCCCTTAGAAAAACATTTTGCATGTAAACAGTGGCAAAAGACAAAAGCTACATATTTTTTGTCAAACGCATGAATGATGAACCACAATAGCATGAGCGAGCAAACATGATAGTTTAGATTACCTTCTTTTTAATAGATATCTTCTTATCAAGTACGGAAGATGCTTTTTGCTATCTTCAGGTCTTGTTCTTTCAGAACCCGACATCTCTGAGGGCGTCTCAGAGCATTCAGTATTGTCCATTTCGCTGGAGCTTATACCCTCATCTTGTGGGAAACAATTGTTGGACACTAAAAGTACAAAATTTCAAACAATTACATAAGAATAAAGTCAAGTTTCAGCTAAGCAGTTAAATGAATAAATACAACCTAGCTCACCAGACAAAAAAAAATCAATAAAAAAACTTCAACAACTCTAGGAGCTAACATACTGTTTGCCCTAATCTATTTCCATTGCAATAAACAACTATTGATCTATCAAATTATGCATTATTCGAGATGGGATAGAATCATAAAAATCATGACATAAAGCAAGCAACAGAATAGGTTTATGAAGAATCACATAACTAAGAATTAGAAGGTTAATCTATTAAACCACGAGGAAATCAAAACCACAACTAACAAGCAGTAACAAACATTGTAAGGCAAAACTTCAATAAATCCTAACAACTGTCTAGTGGAACACTTAGTTTTAGTCACTAGAAAATATAATAGAATAATGGCCATAGCAAGAGGAAAAGGTGACATTTTAGTCTTGGGTAAAATCAAATTTTCAACCTCCAACAACATGCACGGAGTTCGATTTTCAACCTTGAACTATGAATTGTCAAAGCGGCCAAATTTCATCCTCTGGTTAGTTTCAAAGATGGTCTTCTATTTGCTAAAAATAATAAAAATCTAATTTAATCTCTAAGAATTCATAACTAATTTATTTTAAATAAAAAAATCTAAAACTACTACCAATTTTCTTCTAAAAATGGTATCTATCTGTTGCTACTCTATTTTTAGTTATTTTAATCTGATTTATTTCAAATAAATAATGAGGACGACTATGAGCAATAAAGCAATAGGAACATATAAATACATAAGTTATCAATAACTCCAAATAGAGCAGCAAAATATATATAACATTTAAAAAAAATGGTACTAGTTTCACACTTTTCTGATTTAAAATAAATTAGTAATGATTTTTTAGAGATTAAACCAGATTTTATTATTTTTGGAAAATAGAAAACCTCTTTAAAACCCGCTAGAGGACTAAATTTATCCGGAGAGGCCGTCTAGGACCAGACTGCCGTATAAGTTGGAGATTAAAAAATAGACTTTATCTTTCTACTAGTCTTTGAAGACAAAATGTCAAAGTCTCAAGCACTGTGCAGTCAAAGGAACCAGGGGACCACGGATCAGGCAGGAAAATTCCCTGAATCAGCAAATCCGTCCACTTCTAGTTTGCTGACCCAAACTGAAATTACACCGGAACACAAGAAAACCAAAACATTGGCCCGCCTCAACCTCCCCTCTCCTTCGAATCAGGACGACTATCCCAGCAGAATTCACCAGAAAGCCAGCAATGAGCCTGCTGCCTGCATATATAAACCCTAACGACTCCCTCGAAATCGGCCACTAGAAGTCTAGAACCAACCTTGGACGCGACAATGCCACACCGCGACGCCATCGCTACCAAGTCCTAAGACCAACGCGGATAAAATCGCTTCGTAGAATACCGCTACGATGGAGCACACGACACGGAACAGAACCAGATTGGCTATGAATATGACGATGGAGGAGGAAACAAGAAACTCCTATAATCATGGGTCGGACTATCGGAAAAGGGACCAAAGGGGCTCACCGGACGAGGAACCGACGTCCTCAGCGCCGGCGCCGGCGCCGCCGACACGGCTGCTGCTGGCTTCCTTCATCGGCCGCGGGAAAGGCTTCTAGAAGCTTCCTTCCCTCCCTCCCTCCCTCCCTCCCGAGGGGCAAGGCCTCCTCTAGAAGACCAGAACTTCCAAGCGGGCCACGCCACGAGACGAGAGTCGTCGGAGGCTCGGAGCCAGAGGAGAGAGAAACGGGGAACGCGGACGGAGGCTTCTCACGGAAGGACGGAGACGAAGGCCATTGGGCGTTGGGTAGGGGACACGTGGCGGAATCTGGAAGCGAAGACGTGCGCACCAGGTGCGGACGGACGGTCCGGATGCGTAGTGGACCAGGTCTGCGGGTGATGGAATTGCCGTTGAAAGCGGTTGAGCAACCGTCTGTTGTCCAGAGGCGAAACACCATAGCGCTGGGCTGCTGCTATAGGCACTGTTTCTAACCACTTATTTTCAGTTTTTCACCGCGCTTTTTTTTACAACATTTTTCACCAAGCTTCGAATCAAAGCTAGCCCGTGTTTAGTTCCAAAAGAACTTCCAAAAAAGTGCTACAGTAGATATCACATCGAAACTTACGATACGTGCATGGAGCATTAAATGTAGACGAAAAAAAAACTAATTGCATAGTTTGGTTGGAAATCGCGAGACGAATGTTTTGAGCCTAATTAATCCATGATTGAACACTAATTACCAAATAAAAATGAAAGTGCTACAGTAGCCAAATTCTAAAATTCCCCCCAACTGAACACGGGCCTAGTTTCCTCCCACAGCCCAAAGGAATCTCAGGATAAGAATTTTACTGTTTGGCATGTCAATTTTAGGAGACAAGAACTTAGGGGAGAGGCATGCTGATGTGGCACCCTTGCTCGCCCACTACGACATCATGGGTGCAACACTCTAGGCGACCACGGCCACCTTCGCCGTAGCCTAGGAAGAAGATAACCTCACGTTGGGCTAGCGCACGTCTGCCGTAGGTCGGAGCCAGGCCCTAGGCTGGGTCGTTGCCCTTGGCCGCTCTCGCTCCTCGGAGCTCGCCAGGAATGTGTCACCAGTGTGTTTGGGTTGCAGCCCGCCACCCTCGAGAGGCATGTTGCACGGACGCGGCATGCGCCGCCAATAGGCAGTGCCGGTCCTAAGGGGTGGGCAGGAGGTGCGATGGCTGGGGGGCCAAGCCCAAATATATAAGACCCCATACCCCAAGTGGCCAAGTATATAAGTCTTCTGTTGCTTGCGGCGCTGGACAGCTACTTAAGCCTTGTGGGCCGGGGTTTCCAGTCCAATACTACCTATAGCCAAATAATAAATGGCCGATCGGTAGCACGTCAGGAATCATCGGCCTCTTTTCAGTGTTTAGTCGCAGACTTCCGCCGATCGAGCCGCTCAGACTTCCGCTGTTCCGCACGACAATCTGCAAACGGCGACTCGGCGAGACGCAGTGCCGATCGACAAGGCAGCCGAGGGCCCGAGGCAGGGCTTGACGAGGATGACGAGTTGACGACATCTGAAGATTTATCTTGGTTATTGCCTTCTGCCCTTTTTGTGATTTGTGAATCTTGGTTCTGAATCAGTTCATGTCTAAATTGTCTATGCACTAGGGTTGTTTCTCGCTCTCGATAATTATCAGACATATTAAATTTAAAATATATTATTGGATTTGCTTTCCCTATACAAGTAAAATTAGCCTATATATTCTAAAATTTTATGATCTAGAGGGGTCATCGCGATAAGTTCGCCAGAGGGCCCTCAAAATCATAGGACCGGCGCTGCCAACAGGCCATGTGGACGAGCACGAGTGCATGCGTGTGGCCAAGGAGGTAGAAAGCTCGAGCACACATGCGAGGTCGATAGGCAGTGTGTGAGCCCGGTACACCGTTTTAGAGCTTTAATTTAGAAGAGAAACACTCACTCCTACATGTCATAGCCAGATTTACAACATTGAGAAAACGTATCATCGAGAAACTAATCGAGAACTTAGCCAAACAAAGTACTCCCTTCGTCCAAAAATGCCCACAAATCTCGCTTTTCAACGAGTAAACTTTTTTTAAAATTAACTAGATTTATAAAAAAATATCATCAACATTGTTATGAAAGTATATTTCATTATTAATATAAAACTTATTACGCATTATAAATATTACTATATTTTTTTATATATGTAGGCAAAATTGAAAAAGTTTGACTTATAAAAATAATGAGATGTTCAATTATTCTAGGATAAAAGTGATATTTACAAATATTTTGGGATAAGAGGGGCCGTGGCTATTTAGTTTTGTACCGTCGCAACATTCGGAACTGTTAGCGCCCAGACGTCGTGACAGACGCTCGTGTCTGGACACCCGCGGCTGTTGGGCTGCTGCGCTGCTCGCCTGCATGTCCGTCTGCTTGTCCTCGCCGCTCCGTGGGGACCGCCCTCGCCCACCTCGCTTCCCCGCGCGCACATGGGGACCGCCTCCGCCTGCGCTCGCTTCCCGCGCCTGCTCGCAACATGTGTAACATTCCGATCTACTTTTGCAACGTCCAGATGGAATACATGCAACATACGTCAGAAACAGCTGAAACACTTGCAAAAAAACACATGAAAATCATTGCAAACATACGCAACATCTAGATAAAATATTTGCAACATATGTGTGAAACATACGCAACATCTAGATAAACACACTTGCAACATATGTCTGAAAAACAGATGAAACATTGGGAACAGACGCTTGCAACCATTGCAACATCCATATGAAACACTTGAAACATACATCTGAAACAACTGAAAGACTTGAAACATAGGCTTGCAATATGTCTGAAAACGTCTGAAACACTCCAACACAACGTCGCGGCGGCCATGGCCTACCTGGTGGGAAACTGCAATAGCCAGCAAACTCCGATTAGGAGGACGTCGAGAACAACGGCTTAGCCTACACCTCACTGCCGGACTTCCCTTTTATGTCGTGGTGTCTTCGACTGGCCACAGGAGACGATGTCCAGGTCGATGACGACCTCCAACTGGTGGCATCAGGTTGGTGGTGGCCCGGTGATGCCGCGGCCGTGACCAGTGAGGTGGTGGAGTGGGGCGCGGCAGGGGATGTGGCGCGTGCGTGGCCGGCGATGGGGTGCAACAGTGGAGGGAAGTGCATGGCGCGGCGAGGGACGAGGCACGATGGGGAAAGGAGGCACTGCAAGATGGAGTGGGGCGAGCGGATGCGAGTAAAGAAGAGGCAGACAGGAGGCGGTGTTGGTGAGTTGAGAAATGGGTGGATAAGAATTAATTTAGAGAATGAGTAGGGAGCCTTGGTGAGTTGAGAAATGGGTGGATAAGAATTAAAGTCTGTCTGGCGCCGGACGCTCGGGTTACAGCATTTCCACGCAACATTTCTCTTTGTTGTTTTCAGCGAAAAATAGAGAAGACTAAATGATGCTAATTACCTCCATTAATGCCAGGCAAATACAGTTGCCTGTACCAGGCCAGTACCTCCATTAAGCAGGCAACCCCCGCTAATTACCAACCAGGCCAGGTTAAAATTTCTAACTGCTTCTTTAGCTGCACAAATTAAAAAGGGGAGAACAAAAGGAAAAGGACATGTAAGAGGGCAAAGTAAAACAGCGCTCAAATGAAAAAAAAATCTTTTCTTGAAAGCACAGAAGAGACAATTCCAGAACACATATTTCCATATAATAATTTAACTATACAAGTTATTCACATTTCTCTGCAGAACCAAATCCAATCAAATTTGGATAAAAGAATGATTTTCAACGGATCCCTAGCTGCTACCGTTATACAACGAAAATACGAGGATTTCAGTCTAAGTGTGCTGCACACGCATCTCAGGAGGCAGAACAAAAAAACTATCCCAACCTCAACTAACAACTTACAACTAGCCTATTCCCAACCGAGCCAACTGAAACTTGAGACAACAAACCAACCTATAAGGACAAAAATAATTACATAGCACAAGGAGAAGGGAAACCCTAGGTTGAATTTTACATCTGATGGAAGAATATGTATCTGCGTATGCCCGTGCAGCAACGTAGGCCTAGCCCTTCCAGGGCTCAGCTCTTCAAGAATTGAAAGGCAGGAATTGCAGTAAGCTCTTGTGGTGGGGCAACATTCTGAAATTCTTTGGCATCCATAGAATCTGCTATCTCCTCAAGTGATATGGGCATGCTACAGAAAGTAAAATGTCAAGGATTAAGCACATCCTCGGAGTCATGTAAGCAACATAATAATGGCGCATTAAATCCTTTACACACCTAATTTCATCATCCAGTAGAAAGGTGTTCTCCAGAGTGTCCTGGCTTGATTCCTTGGTCATCAATGTTAGCATCTCCTCAAGGACCTACAGTCAAGTAGCAAATCAAATCAGCACCCACTAGGCCGCTATTAGTTGTCTGCTCTATATGCTATGAATAGGAAAAATGTCAAATTCAAAGAGCAGAAACAAGGGTACAAGAGAAACGGTGAAATTTGGAAGAAATAACATTTGACTGAACATAAGTGGTATTACTTATATTCAAAACTGTACTATTCCATATTACATGAACTTAGAATCCAAATAAATTTTCCATAAAACTGCATGCAGAAATTGTGCTTATGGCATTCCATTTGCATCCAGGGCGGAATGAAACTGACTATAACTATTAACTTTTAGCATAAGAAAATGATTTTCCCTTGTTACCTCTTCTGACACGCTCTCTGTATTATATTTGTCATCCCAGTACTGAGTGCATATTTTGTAAAGCTGCTGCACGCTTAGTACCTGGAAAATACCAGAATAGATTTAGTGTGAGTGAATAAGAACGTGGGTTGTGTGTGTGACAGAGAGCACTTACTGGGCAGAGATCATTGACAATTTCATCATATGAAATCCTGAACTTTTTGAATATGACCTAGACAACATAAATATATCAGTATTGTTGTATTGAGAATTCATATATCAGTATTGTCATAATGAGAATTCAAATTGCATATTCTTTAAGGAGACACAAAATATAATCATCAGCTGCAATAAATGCCTGTGTCAATTACCAAGCGGAAAATATTAATTAGGGACCATCT